CCCCCTCTCTGTTTCTACTAAAGCCATTAGCCACTTGCTCTCCCATTAATTCCCTATTAAGAGATCATCCATCAAACCCACAAAAAACCCACAAAATCACAAAGATATGTGCTGGAAAACATCTGCAGATTCCACATCGAGGGACAGTCAGCTACAGAGAGGGGTCACCCTTCCTCTGCAAAAACTACAACTGATTTTATTGCATCACTGCAGCATGCAATTACTGTCAAAGAAGAGAATGGCAAACTGTCGGCTGAGGCGTAATTAAACCTCAGCAGCAGCAGCTTCCCCTCTGAGTGATCCCGCTTTTTGCACCGCGGACCGAGTGGACCGGAACGGGGACCTCCATGTGTCACACAGAGCAGGCACGCCGATGAATGCTGCACAGCGGTTTAGGACAGGCAGGCAGGGAGCCACACCTAAATCAATCGGGGCTTCACACCCTGGGAGAGAAGGAAATCCACGACTATGCTCTGTTTTCTGCTCTGAGGTGGAAGGGAACAGGTTTTCCCCTCTGCTGAGCATTTGTTGTCTCAGGGAAGCCCAACCTCTATATGAATCTGGTCAGGGCTCAGGAGGATTCAGGCAAACCAAGCACCTGAGAAACACTAGTATTTCAGGCTCACCCAGGACGAGTCTATTCCAAGTGGACGAGATTAAACACAAGGCATGTGCAGGTTATGAAAGGCATGTGAGAGGAACTGGCTAGCGTTTGGGGTTATGAAAGACTGGAGGTTACGAAAGACCTTGGCAGTTATGAAAGACAAGCCAAGAGTCTGATCCAACAAGGCAGAGAGCAGCCTCGACCTGCTTGGAGGTGAATGGACATTCAAAATTACCCAGCAGCTCACAGCAAGAAGCTCATGCTGCCTGGCAGGCCTAGGCTAAGGAAGGCTTGAAAAAAACTTCAAAACAGTAACAAGAAAACAGTCATCACTGACCAGGAGAATGATGAAGAAAAGTACTGCCATCTGTTTATAGGCGTTACAGGCAGCTGTGTTTTTTCTGCAAAGTATTTTCAATGGTCTTAGAGCACTTGCCACAGCCACTGGTTTTCTAAGAAGTAGTATTTCCTGGCTTCTTAGTTCTGTTTTAGATCTTTTACCTACATGAGTCACACAGCTGGAATAAATCTGTAAAAACCAAGGCTTCATTCAGATGATATTTTAGCCTCTCAAGCTCAGCCTTCGGTGATAATTCTACTAATATTCTACCACCAAGACAAAGAGAAGGTTGGGAAAATTTACTGAGCCAGATGGAGTCACTTATTCCAAATGCCACTAAAACATCATTTAGAGCAAGGACTTACTCCTGCTTAGAAAAATATTGAGAGCACTTTCCCCCCTTTACAACAGTGTTTCTCCATGCCAGTGATTTTCTACAATTACCTTCAGTGAGGCTATTTCTGCATCCTGCCTACTACACTACCATTCACACTGCCCTGTTTTTAAAACACAAGTTAAACAGACCTTTCAAATGCTCCTGTGGCAGCCTAATCACAACAAACCTCCAGGCACTGCAGCAGACCTGAGACACATGGGAGGAAACCATCTGCTCTACATCAGAATAATATCTAGCCGGTTTCAGCAAAAGGTATAGACTCTTTTACTGTTGGCCAATTCAGTAACTAAAACTTCCACTTTCAAGGAAAAACACAAAACCCACTTTTATCGTGGTCTGAGATGCTTCCTAGAATGCAAAGCTACGGTTAGCTGTAGGTTTTCTTATTTACCAAAGTCAAAGCTGGTTTTACTACATCTCACCAGTATGTTTACATGTCTGCCCCAGCACAAACTCTATAGGGAAGCTCCTAAAGCCACCTCAAGCTGTGCTGAGCATGGCATCAATAAAATGCACAAATTCTAAAACCTGGAAGAAACTGAGATTAAGGAAGAACCCAGAGCAATTCTGTTCCATACTATTCCAAATTGCATGACATATTTGTAGGGTTATTCTACTTAATGAAAATAATCTTACATGAGGGCAGAACAGATACAAGGTTGGAGGAAACAAGTAACTTCCAATAAACAGTCAGCAGAAGGCTTGACAAACATTTGGTGAGGATTTCAACAAAGCTTCGTAATTTCAAACTTTTAAACTTCGGGTATTAGTTACTTCACCTTCTCAGCATTTGTTACTGTTTTTTGCTGATTCATAATGGGGACCAGAAAATGTTTTGCTAAGTAGACTGACAGCCTTGCTATCTTTGTGGTATCCACTGCCACGGTGCAGCTTAGAAATTTAAAGAATGAAGTCGAATTCTTGCTCTACATGAAGTTTTGTCACTTATTTTAGAAGGAAACGGTCTAAACCTTTTATTTTTAAAAGTCTCTATTATTTTTGTGAACTATGCATGTCAAGAGTGTTATGTCCCTCTCATCCCAAAGTAATATGTGTCCTACAAGATAAACAATAAAAGAAAACAGATCTAGACTTAGATACTGTTAGGTTAGATAGAACACCCAAGCCAATTAAATTTAGCCCAGTCCCTAGAAAATTAAAAATTAATTTTGTGTTCACATCAGAAATATTAAGTGGTGGTGCTATGCAATTTTCTTAATGCAAATATGGTACAACTAAAGCATCTCTATTCTAGTCCTGAAAGATCACTGAAAATGAAACCCTCGACCACAGCAGGTGCTGAAAGACGATAAATTCACACACTCGATGTATTTAACGCCCTTTTCAAAAAGCTACGCTGATGGACTCAAGCCCCAGACTCTCTTTTGTCCAATTCAGCGCCAAGTGTGCATCAGAACAAGTCAAGCGGAAAAGCGTCAGTTTGGCCGATTAAGTGTACATTCCCAACGCTCTCTCGGTGTTGTAAGTATTACAGACTGGTTGCTCTATTGCATAAGCACGTATTCATCGTAGGCTGCCCTTTTTCTACAAGGTGGATCTAGAATCGCTCAGCTGTCTGCTACCAGTGCCCTACTCCGCTGGCTCAAATGCATGGTAATTTGGTTTATACGGTTTCAGGAACAGCAGGTTCTTAATTCTCTTCTTCTCATCCTTGACAAATCCAAAATGACACGCAAAGAACAAGTGAAAAATCTCAAAGGCACTGTATTTGTTACCGTACACTTTAATTCCCACGCACTAACGAGCTGCTGAAACTAAAAATCTGAACTGCCTTTCCACTCCCGAGGCCACCTTTCCCACTCTTTCTTCCCTTCCTTCGTGAGATGGCCGATGCCAGTGGCCAGCTTTCCCCCCAAGGCCCAGGAACGCCGACGGCCGTCTGCCCGTTCCCGGGCACAGAGGGGCCCTTTCCGTCCCCGTTCCCCTTCGCCCCCGACGCACCGGCAGGCCCCGGGCCGCTCCCGCCCCGCCCGCGGCGCCCTGAGGGGCCTGAGGGAACGGCGGCTCGTCATCTCGGAGGAAACACCAGCGCCCCAGCCCCCCGCTGGGGG